GCTTGCGGGGTCCATGCATTGCATGGGCGAAGTTAGGGGTGTCGCTCGATTTGGACGGCGGGAGCGAAAGTTGAATGCATGGGTGAAATTAGGGGCGTGCGGGGATGGGCGAAAGTTAGGGGGGACAAAATAATGTCCGCGGAAGTAATCGAACGCGGGGATGAACGTGCACGTTAACCGTTGAGCTAGGCGGCTGTTGGAGGAAAGGGGAAAGAGGGTGTGGCGTGGTGGTGGGGCGGGGCGGAGGGTGCGTGGCCCGCGCGCCGATGCTCTGGCGGGCGGCGGTGGGGCGGGCAGTGCGCTGGGTGCGTGGGCGGGATGAAGATTGGGCGTGTCGAGGGAGGTGGCGCGGTGAGCAGGAAGGGGGACGCTGGCGGGGTGGCGGCGGACGGGCGGTGTGGATGGGGATGGCGGGACGGGAAAGGCGGCGAGGCGGCGGGAAAGGCGGTTGGACACGTGACGTGGCTGTACGTGCAGAAAGGGGCAACGACGAGCGGTGAAGGCGGGCGACGAGGCGCGAGGCGATGGCGGAGAGAGGCGCGACAGGGGGCGGCACGTGTGATGACGTTGATCGGTCAAAGCGATGTATCGCGTCGGGTCCGGGCCGGGATGGCTCGCTCGCGCCCAGTCGGCGACAATTCATCCCGCGCTGCCGCACTGACTACGTCGGTGCGTCCCCGCTCTATACAGAGGCATCGAAAAATGTTGCCTAGCGGCACATTTTTCTCGCTCGCCACGTCATCCCGCGCTGCCGCCCCGACTTTGTCGGGGCGACCCCGCTCTATACAGAGTCCCAAAAAAAAAAAAAACATGCCGAGCGAATTGGTGCGAATAAGGTCAATTGCGCGGCGCCGTTTAGTGAGTCTTTTTATTGGGGGGATTATCGGAATGGTGTGTGCTGACGGCTGTTTAGGCGGTGGACGGCGGATTGTTTATGGTACGGACGACGGGGTGTACATCTCGGACCTGCGGGAGATCAACAAGGACCCGGTAAAGGTGCTCGCGCTGCTCGACGTGGGGCAGGTAGATGTCCTCGAGGACTACCAGCTGCTCATCGTGCTCTCTGGTATGTCCCTGCCGAGCCCTCGTGTATATGCTTGATTTGCTGACGGTTGCCGCAGAGCGCCAGGTGCTTACGTTCCCCCTGGACGCTCTGGACCCCATAGACCCCATGGCCGGGCTCAAGCGCGCGAAGCGCATCGCGACGCACACCTCGTTCTTCAAGGCTGGGTTCTGCCTCGGCCGCGTCCTCGTGTGTATCGTCAAGTCGACGCAACTTTCTAGTACGTTCAAGGCGCTCGAGCCGATAGAGCAGAATGTGCGTGGGCGTGCCAAGCCCACGTTCAAGAAGCTGTTGCAGGGCGGGAACGACACGCTCAAGCCGTTCAGAGTACGTCGTTGCTATAGGCTGTATTTCTAGCGGGCACTGAGATGGTGTATAGGAATTCTACATCCCGGTCGAGTCGACGTCAATACACTACCTGAAGACGCGGATGTGCATCGGGTGCTCGAAGGGGTTCGAGATCGTCGATCTAGAGTCGCTGGAGACGCAGGGCCTGCTCGACCCCGCGGACGAGTCGCTCGAGTTTGTCCGGAAGCGGGAGAATCTGCGGCCGATGGCGATTTATCGCATAAACAACGACTTTTTGCTCTGTTATGACGGTGCGTTGCGTTCGCGTCGATGTGTAGGCTCTAGCTTACGGTTATGGTCAGAATTTGCGTTTTACGTCAACAAAACGGGACGACGATCGCGCAAAGAGTTCATGGTGTTCTGGGAGGGAACGCCTACTGGCTTTGGTATGCATCTCTCTGTTTCACCTTTGGCGTGCGCTCTGGACTGAATGACCGGGGTAGCACTGCACGAGCCATACGTGCTCGCTTTTGAGCCCTCATTTGTCGAGATCCGGCATATTGAGACGGGGCTCATGTCGCAGGTGATCCAAGGCTCCAATCTGCGGCTCCTGTTCGCGGACACACCGCCGTCTGTGAACAACAGCGGCGGGGGTTACACGTATCAGGGCGGGTACGACCCATATAGCCCACCGAATTCGGCTGGCAGCCGCGCGTCGGCGTTCAGCGGGTACGGGCTCCCACCGCACATGCAGCAGTACCCGCAGCAGCAGGCACATCGATACCCGCAAGGCGTCGGGCGCGACGAGATCCTGATGGTCTCTGACGACCGCGTCCTCGCACTCCGAACAGCGGCGGGCCCGCAGCGCTTCATGTCCGACAACGTCTCGATGACCTCAATGCCGCGGTAGCGGTGGCGTGGGTTCGACTCTCCTCGGTTTCTGGTGTATTACTCGTCCCTCCGTTTCTTTTTATAATCTCTTTTTCCATACTACGTACATACTGATCATCTGTTTCGTTCATTGTCACTTGTGCGCGCCGCCCTGTCTCTGTCTGTCTCATGTCTCATTATAGTGTGTTTGTTGCTTTTAGCCCTCACGTTAGTATACATATACTATATATATATCACTTGCATTTTTGTAACTGTTTTTGCAATACGCGGATTTCGACTTTCAGAATCCTGGGAAGGGAGTCAATGTGCGGATGATTTGCGATCAGTACCGCCACTGATGCGTCGGTTGCCCACGTGGAATCAAGGTTTTGATGCGCGGATCTGTGCCTGACTCTCAATCTTGCCAAGACCTTGCAAGATGATAGTGAAGAAACGTGGTGGTCGCTTTGAATGCTAAACTTATCTCTTGCGCCCCTTTCAAGTTCCGCGAGGACTGACGCGTTGAGGACCACAACGCTGCGAGTCGCATCCAGGGCTACGTAGATGACTTCAAGACGAACACATTGGCTCAGTAAACATATACCTGTGTCAAATACAAACGTGGCGTACTCCGACCACAACGCATGAGGCGTGCACGATGCACGAAGCCGCACACACCACATGCTGCTTGCATTTGGTGGTCACATATTTGTCTACTCTCTTTTCTTGCACCCGACCGAACGAACGACGAACTAACCGTACTGACACCTACTGACGCATGATGAGTTTTTCTTCTGGAGGGCTAGCAGGAGGGACGGGTGGGATAACGTGAGTTTAAATTTCTCCAATTCGTGCTTTCCTTTTATTTTTCCCTCCTCATCCCTTGTATCTCCCTCTTTTTCTCCGATAAATTTCTATCCGTCTGCATTCATACCGCCCGCTAACATGGATTTCCTATCTTGCGCAGGGATGAAAACAGTGCTGAGCATGTGCAGGTACATGTGCATGTCCTCGACCGTGACGACGACCCGTTTTCCATTTCCTCTGCGGCTGCCACGGAGCAGGCGGCGGCGCCGAGCGTGCATAAGTGCCGCGCTTCAACACTACTCTCGCGCATGGTGGCGGCGCTACAGCGCTTCGTATTACGACTCCGAGTCGCTTGGCCACGGACGCGGACTTCTGGCACGCCCGCCGCGCCCTCTGCCCTTGACAAACCCGAACCCAAACAACCGCTCCTACACCCAAACCCCGCCCTGCTCTCCCTTGTGGCGGCGACTTTTCAGGAGCAGATACAAACACGTGTACCCCATGGGCGGATGCCCATGCACCTCGCCGCACCGGCGTTCGACGGACGCACGGCGATTGACCTCATCGCACGCATCATTAAACAACCGGATCGTGGCCTCGCACTCCGCGTCGCGCAGGCGCTCGACGCGCAAGGTTTTTTCAAGGCTGTCGATGGTGCGGGTGGGAGTACGGATGAGTTTAGGGATGATGAGGTGGAGGTATATCGGGTGAGGATGCGTACGGAGATGTGGACGGGGATGGGGCCAGCACCGGGGACTGTTGGGGACGGTGAGTTGAATAGCGGCGTTCCCGCCCCCGCCGCCACGGGCGGGGTGATTTCCGCGGATTCGTTTGAATCTAACGCAGCGGGGGTGGATGCAGAGAAAGAGACCGATGTGCCACTACCGACGGGCGTGTTTACGCTGCTGACGGACTGCTACAGCCCGACGTGTGGCCGCATTGGTCAGGACCAACGATGGCCATGCTATAGCGTTTCGTGCCCACGGCGGCGGCTGAACGTGGTCGCCTGAACGTTGGAGTTATTTTGCCAGTGCGGAGGTACTTGGAATGGGTTAGGAGCTTGAGGATGCGTTTAATTCTGTAGTTTAAGTGTGGCCATAATACCATGGAACTTGGATGCATATATATTGATGCCTACTGTATGTGTACTTTTTATAAAGGTCGTTCTATGTTGACCAAACCGAATTGAGGACACGAAAGACTTTCAGGATGTCGTTTACTGTATCATTGTCTAATGTTCTCTCCAGTCACGATAGGCGAGAAGTCTATTTTCCTCGGGCATCTCGGACATGTTGATTTTCTCAATTCCAACACTATTAGACTTTCTCAGCCGTGCATCATAATTCGTCTCAGCTCGTGCTTCCTAGAACTTCTATCGTGAAATCCCTAACCTGGGATATTCAGCGTCTCGCTCGACTCCCCAAATTCCTCCGGTGCTCGGCACTGACTGCACCCACGTCGGTCTTGGATAGTGGATCTCACACTCTTGGGTCCCACCGATTCGTACGGGGAGACTATCCCCAGTTTCTCTGCGAATCCTATCTTCCGACCTACAGCTTTTTCATTCCGTTTATCCTCCAATCGAGGGCCTGTCTACAGAGGCAGGGCGTTGAATCAACGAATGAAGCACGATCAAGGGAAGGGAAGGGTTCAAACGTTCATGGCTACTAGAATCGAGAGGCTTGTCATCGTAACCATCATCCGATCCGGTCAAAGCCTTCAAATCTCCACGTTTAGGGGGAAAAAAATACAGCCAGAATGGAATCTTGCGCACCTTAGCAAGATACCAGAAAGGAGAAGGTCACAAGAAAGAAATTAGACCCTTTTCGGGGAGTCGTCGTTGGGCAGGTTCGTAGCTAGCGTACAAGATATAGTCGTGGTAAGAGAGCAAGAAGTAACTAATGTGTCCGTGTTTGGCAAGGCCGTAAGTAGCTGGTCGTGATCAGCATGATTACACAGAACCGCAAAAGAATGCGCCGAGAGGGAATCGAACCCCCGGCGGGTCGAATTCAACGGTCCGTGGCAACGACCCAGGTTACCACTACCCCATCGGCGCCACGTGAAAGAGATTCACTTGTATCCCCTACATCGTACCCCAGCATTCACATTTGTTTTTAAAAAAAATCATTTGCTCGTCAGGGCGTATAATCATGTCTTCAAGTCGTAGGTACTTGCGTAAGTATTTAAGCGAAGTGCTAGAGGCCTGGGCGAATCAATCTTGTCCGCCCATATTGACGTCGTCGTCGGGAAATGTATATAAGCTCATTCCAAAGTCTTCAAAGCGGGGCGGAAAGTCAGTCAAAGGACGGTACTGGGAGTGAGGATCTTGCTGCGATGCCGATGCTTGCGGGGGTAGAGGAAACTGAGAGGGTGGAAGAGGGATCGGCACCGAAGCTTGAGAAAGTAGCTGAGATGTCGACGCCTGTGGCTGCGGACGACGTTGGGAGGCGGAAGGCTGTGGCTGCCGACGATGCTGGGAGGTGGAAGGCTGTGGCTGCAGACGAGGCTGGGAGATCGAAGGCGGCAGACGAGACGCAGATGGCGATGCTTGAAGCCCGACCATCGTCGGCTGCGGCTGCGGAGGGAGCTGGGAGGTCGGCATTTGGGGCGGAGGAAGGGAGGTCGACGGCTGAGGCGTAGACGCCGAAGGAGTCTGAGGAGGCAAAGTTGCTGCGAGGGCGGCCGGATTTCCGGGCCAAGTAGCAAAATCGATGGGAAGACTCCATCCCGACCCTACACGCTCACGGAATTCGCGACGACGGCACGCCGCCTTGGACGTCTTCTTCAGACCGCGGAAATGCTCCGTAACGTCTCCGAACTCAACCCCACAACCGTTGCACATAGTGTTCTTCTGCGCATCCTAGTCAGCAAAATTCAAGGGTAGGGTGCTCGAACACTTGCCTCCTCCTCCTGCTCTTCCTCCTCCTCGGAATCGTCCTCTTCCTCGTCCGCGGCTTTCCCCTTCCCTTTCCCCTTGCTCTTGTTTTTCCTCGGCTTCCTTCTCGACTTGCCTTGCGCTGCAAAAGTCTGCCGATCTGGTCAATATAACTTTCTTCGGTCGCCGAGACAAGACTTACTCCTGCGTCCATCGGCGGTGCGGTCACTTTCCAGTCTTCGTAAACGACGAGGGGCCCGAAATCCCAATGAGGCCTGCTGGGGTCACGTATCTTGAACTTGGTCTTGTCGCAAGTGCACGCAGAGTCCTCGAAGTGTTCCCGAATGTCGTAGAAGCCGGTTTTGCACCCCACGCATCGGTGATCGCGCCCGTACTTGGATCTGTTGGTGGGTGCATTCGGGTCGGCGCCCTGAGGAGGATGAGAAACGACTCAAATCACGATGATTAGACTCACAGCAGGGAGAGTGTAGGTTAATTCTGCGCCAACGCGCGAGCCATCTACAATGAGCTGGTATTTGGAACGCGTGCGACAGACGCTCTCGGGTCGCGCGTTCAATAGATGGCCGAGGATGTCGGCTTTGGGCATGCGGCAGCCGAAGCAATGCCCGCGCACGGGCGGGTCGCCCTTTGATTTCTTGCGCTTCTTGCCCTTGCGCATCGGGGAGAGTTGAAGAGGGGCTGGGGCGTCATTGGAACCAGAGGCGGCAGCCGGGTCTGCGTCGGGAAGGAAGTCGGCGGCGTGGGTCAAGTCGACCGATGGCGTGGGAGTTTCGGAGGGGGCAACGGGGAGCTTCAAGCGACGGACGACGGTGTGGGAGGTGGAGCCACAGATGGGCAGGCGATGGACGGCGACGAGATGGGTCTTGAACTCGAAGAGCGTGTAACGCTTGGTCCCGCACGATGGAACCGGGCATGGATGTTTAGCGTCCTGGTCGAGATCATTTGCGTGATACTCGAGATGCCCGCGAAAGTGCTGCTGTTTAGTCCATCTGCGAACCATTAGCTTTGTCGTATGGAAAAGGGGGAAGGACTTGCTGCCGCATGCGCTCGTCTATCTCGAGCTCCTGGTTGAAGATGCACCAACAACAAAATGCTGGCGCCGACACCACACCTTGGGAAGAGTGCCCGTGGAGGTCGGGTTGAGAGCCGTCGAAGCCGGTCGCATGATCAAACTCGACGCAGCCGTCGACAAAGACGACGCCGATGGGTTCAATGTCCAATTCCTGCTCAACGCGAACCTGGTATGGGGCGGCGACTTCTTGATAGTGTTCCCAGCAGTGTGCGTCCCATTCCAGACCATCGCCATATTCGTCCACAAACCTTTGGAGATACAGTGAGAACGCAAGGGAGAGGGTTAAACAAACTCACCACTGCGAACAGATAACGCAATAGTGGACGGGGACAGTGAGGTAGAGGCTGGTGGAGTGGAGTTGGCCATAGTGTTTTTTCCAGTCGAGGCAATTATCTGCGCCGCAAATTTCGTCGCCCTCCAGCCACTTGCACTCTGAAACCGAGCTAGATGCTCGATCTATTAGGTCGACATGATCTTGGACATGGTCGATGAATTTCGTCCGGTCGGTGAACGTCCGGTTCCGGCGCCTGCATCCGTCCCACTGGCAAGCGGCGGTGAAATTGTCCTCGGATTCGCTTTGAGCTTGTTGCTGAAAGTCGCGAGAGTGACAGTCGTGGATATGCTCACCCATCCGGACGTGAACATCCCTTGAGATTACTTGTCGGTCGAATAAGTCACGGACCAAAAAAAAAACATACGTGGGGGTCTTGTCGCATACAGGACAATTGCCTTGTTGGTTCGGAGACTCTCCAGGGTAGCAAGGGTGAAAGCGACGCTCGGGAAGGCCTACAAGAGCGTCGACGCACGCGATGAGCTCGTCGTGCACGTCCGCCTCCGGATAGTCGTATAAAATCTCGATGAGCTCGGCTATGGGATCGACAAAGGCCGTATCGAGCTGTGCCCGAATACCCGCATTTTCCTTGAGTGTGGACGAGTTTTGAGGGCGAGTAACCGTAGAGAGCGGAGGTGCCGCAGGCGGAGCCTGGCAAATGTCAAAACGGGAAGACAAAAGAAAAGGAACACGCACTTGTCCCGAAATCTGGCGACCAGAATGTCCATCGAAATGCTTGACACGCTTCGCGTTGATCCAGACTCTAGTCTCTTGAACCTCGAGATTGTGGATCTTGCGTTGAGCATTTGCGGCATCCTTGCGGAGCTTTGCGATGCCCGCTTGCGCAGTGTCGATGGCCTCTGGGGAGGTGAAGGTCGGAAGCTTGAGCGATTCTTGATCCACTTGGCGACGGAACTACAACGTGTTCAGCGACAGAGGTTCTAGTAAAAGGACAATCGCGCACGTCGTCCCGCTCGGCCCTCAACGCAACGAACTGTGGCGCCGATCTGAGCTCTTCGCGCTCCTCAACGGTAAGTCGGGTAGGTGCATTAGAATCCAAGTTGATCGAAATCCCGCTGGCGGCCTGGGACGATCAATAGGGATCAAGAGGAAGACGGGACAAACCTCCATGGCCCGTTGGATTGCAGGGGCGGATTCTCGTCGATGGAGGATTGCACCGAGATCGTGGCAATTCACCATACTTTGATAAGCGGTCTACATTGACGGATTAATACGAGTCGGAACATTCAACTGGTGGCGCACGCGATACTGATGCGAGTCGGCCACCTGGCTCATCATCGAGTTCCGGTCATCTTCAGAGAGGACGCCGCTGAGGTTCTTGGCGGTGCGACGACGGAAGGCGTAATCGGTGATGGGCTCTGTAATATAACATGAGCGAAGAGCACGTCAGAAGAGAGAATAGCTTACTTGAGAAACCCCGAAAGAAGCACACTCTCTGGAGATGCATCCGGTGCACACGGACCTTGAGTGCGGCCGTCGACGAGATCTCCCACCCTCTCGGCGTCAACACCTCGGCACGAAAGATGGGCTGTTTCCGGGAGCTCTGCTTGAGTGTAAGGACATGGATCGAGGTGCAGGGATTCTCAGGGTAGACGGCTTCTTGGATGTTCCGTACGTGCTCGAAGATATCGTCTTCCTGGGCCATGGCGCAGAAGAGAGTCGCCGCGCAGTTTGCGCGGTTACCCTGCGGCTCCGGCCACAGAAAGATGAACTTGCGCTTGCTCGGGTCCTTGCGATAGCCCTTTTGCAGATCTACGCCAATCATGATGCCAAGGAGCGGGCGGTGGGGGTCGTCGGGGTTGGGAAAGAGCATGAATTGACAATCGCCCCATGTCATCGCCTCGTTGGTTTCCCGGTAGCAGTCGCTGACCATGATCGCGCCGGGGCGCTCGGAGGAAAGGGTCGATAATAGACAGACGGCGCTGCACTGCGTCTTCATGCGGTTGGTGTGAAATATTTGCTTGTCGTCCCAGATGGCGCGTACGATGATCTCGAGGTCGAGCAGGGTCACGATAGGTTTATCGCGTACCTTGTTGCTGAGTGGTGCGACGTCGCGAAGGGTTTGAGAGTCGATAAAGGCGAGGGCGTTGAATCGCATTTGCTTTGGGATATCGATGAATGCATAATTTTTCCAGATGGAGCAAAAACGACTGTAATACGCCTTGAGGGTCTTTTTCGTCAGGAATTCTTCGAGCTGTCCGAGACAGCCAAGAGCCAGATACTGCAGAAACTCGAGGAGGATGTCTACGGGAGATTATGGAAGGAAGCGAAAAGAAAAACAAAGGACGCACTCTCGGAGATCAGCGGAGTTCCCGGCACGATCTCGGCTGGAAGGTCCTGTTCGTGTTGTTCGGCAAATCCGCGGTATAGATTCTGGATGTAGGCGTGGCCATATTTCGTCGGGAGGGCAACGATCTTGTAAAACTTGCCAGTCGGAGGCGCGTCGAGCGCCTTTTGTATGGCGGGATTTCTGGCGGCGCGGTCGGCGAGTCGGTCAGCGAATGATTGCTGGGGGCCGCGAGAGCGCAGTGCCATGGCGTAAATTAGAATTATAAGAGGACAGAATGGGGAGAAGAGACAGTGGGACCCATGAGGGGGGGTGAAGAAAGACGTCGTCTCTCGGGTGGGGTTCTTATATCGGACGCGTTGCGGAGTTTGAAAACTTGACAGGAACAAACGTAAGGAATGAAAGAGTGGGGAGCGCAAGAGGGAGAAATGTCGTTGGGGAGGTACTTG